GTGTAGGGCAGATTAAGACTGTTGCTTAGATCTCTTCACAAAGATAAGATGGCTTAGTTGTTAATGATCTTTTTCCCTGTATGAAGTGATATATGCGAAAAATAAAACAGAAACGTCTCTTTGATAAAGAACAAAATCCTTTTGATAGCTCCAGTGATGTAAGTGTATGGTTGATATCGGCAACCACCATCTGGGGTGTTGAATGATGTTTTATTTGAGTAGCCTGTTATATTGTTTCATTAGCTCTGCTATTAATTATTCTTTTTTATTGTTGGCTGCTGGAAACATGCAGGTCTATGAGTTTTGATAATGACGTTTGGTTTCTAAAGGCTGAATCAAAGCAGTTAATATTGTGGGTGCAATACATGCTGAAAGGTCATCTTTTTTTTGTTCTGTTTAGCCTACAAGCCCCAAGTTTGGAAAAGCAGACTCATATGAAAAACTGGAAAAACTAGGGGAAGGGTCCTATGCTACAGTATACAAAGGGAAAAGCAAGTAAGTGGTGGTTTTGTTTTTTTTTTTTCTTTTAATTTTGTGTTTAATGAAGATAAGCAGAAAGTATTAATTGACATTGCTGCACATGTACATAGATCCCTATGAATGAATGCAAAGTGCTACTGGCTGCCGTGTGCTCTAGTGAAAGAGGCTGCGACCATATTGTGTAGGTAACATATTACCTTCGCATCAGAACAAGATGAGGTCCCATCTTGTTAATCTCATGTTTTGTTTGTACTTTAATGTTGTACTACTTTCTCAATTTCCATACCAAATTAATTTTTAGGGACAAAAGCACAATAGTCAGGTAGACTTTTCTGATGTTCTGAGAGCAATGCTGAATATATGCAATAATTTATTAGCTTTTTTGTCATTATTACAAAACTTGAATAAAATAACATGAAGGGAATTAATGGAATTTTGGACTACTGTAAGTTTAGTTTGTTTACAAGAGTTTATTTACAATTGTTGCAACTACTCCACCTCAAAATAATCTACTACATAGTGTCAAATATTTGTTTTCAGCCACTTTAATGCTATTAATTTGTTGCAACTTTTTTGTCCCCAGTGCCCTAAGTGCTTCTATATTTTATAAAATAAGTCAGTGAACACACTTAAAATATACTACTTCAGCTAGTGCTTCAGTTGAGTTATCTTTTGTCAAGCAGAGTGTCTTGTGCAAGTTCATATATTTAATCAAGTTTTCATAATCAAATTTGTAATAATAATACAGCAGTTCTGAGAGAGGGATTTGATACGTGCGGTATCTTTATTTAAAAACTTTGTCTAGTGAATGATAGATGAGGCAACTCTACCATTCTCAGCAGAGAGAATATCATGACAGTCATGGGACAGAATAACTACTGAAACAAGGAAATACGTGTTAACATTTCCAGGGTCATTAAGTTACATAGGTACTGAAATACTGAATATTTGTAATAAATCAGAATGAGGGGTGCCTTCATCTCTCAGTAGCTTTGCGATTGATGAGCATAATGACAGATGATATGAATAAAAACATGTTCTAAATGTAGAAGTATTTACACTTCTGCCGTGCCAGTGCATGCGTTGTCTTTCACTGTCAGCTTTCTTCAAGAAAATACAGTTACGTTGCATTGTTAATGGTTCAGTTACGCATCACCGTAAGTTCCAGACGTTATACACATGTAAGCTTTTTATTGGGGTCTGTGTAATATGAGACAATGGTACAGATTTCAGCTTGCACCTTATTGCTAAGACCCTTGAGTAAAATCATAGTGTGTGTCTGGTGATAGTTATCCCATATGCCTTGGCTTTCAATAAGATTGAACTAAGGCAGCAGGGTTTCTAGATGTCCCGTCAATCAGTGGAGCAGTCTGAAAGTTAAAAACAAAGCAAAGCGCTTCCCTGAAGCTATTTCGTTCAGTGGTGATTTGTGAACTTGTTACAAAACATACATTGGTTAAAAATATTCATTTATTTTAGTAGAGCTGACTGCAGATCTGTAAGAAAAACTTCAATGATTTTAATGGTAGTTGAATAATAAATTGAAATTACTGGGCTCTCTGCATTCTCCATTATAAATAGCAAGCTCTGGATAAGTAGTAGGAATTATAACAATTATATCTAACTTTAATCTGCTGCTTTGTTACATCTTTTGCAAGGTCTTTAAAATGTATTCTGAAAAAAAGTGTGCGTAGCTAGAGTGTGGATAAGAATGTATACGCAGAGAATATTCCTAATGTTATAGTAATATTCCTTCACCTGCTTAATTTTGTTTGAGTTACTTTTTTTTCCCCACCAAATAATTCCCATATTACACAGCACCATCCAGGTTCAACACCTCTAGTCCAGACCTCTGTTTTTACTTCACAGCAGGAGGAGGTTTTATTTTAAGAACAGGGGAAACACTGCAGGGGCTATCTGCTCTTTCAAAAGGAGTTGTTGGTTGAGGTAATGTAGCCCCGTTATGTTTTCTGTCCCCATAAGAAATTGAGGAATCTCTGGCCTAGGTGGTATCCCCAAAGAAGAAAGAGCATCACTGCTATGACGTATTCATAGAATCATAGAATGGTTTGGGTT